GTGATGCTCTTTGCTGAATAAACAACAACCTGTAGGTGCAAAATATCTGAAATAATTTTTTTCCAGTATGGGCGTCTGACAGGGTGCAAAAGAGATACTTCCCCCGAAAATAAAAAAAAATCGAAACCACAAAAGAGAGATGATAGGGTATGAAAATATCCAGTTTACTTGAAATTCCCTTTGAATCGACCCTCCTTCTACCATCAATCGTTATCAGGTTTTGCTGCTGAGTCACACCCCCCCCCCATTTGCTCCCTTGAGAAAGACTTTACCCGTCCCGCTCACGACCTCACCACTGGATACTTCCCAGAGTGGCGGTATTGCTAATTCCCTTCATTACGTCATAAAACGTATATTTTATGGTACATGTTATCATTACATACATCATTCTCATTATATCCCTCAGTATATCTCATTCAATCATTTCAGGCTTTCGTTAGACACGTAGCCCTACCCCTGAACCCAGACAGCCACAAACATACCAGTAACTTTCCACGAAGAAACAAAAAACAAAACAAACAAAACAAAGCTTACTTTTTTTCTAACTGCAGTTCAAGGATTCTATTTAAGAATCATGGATGATAGTCTTTCTTTTGGATGGATAGTCAATACATTATTGACAGCATTGATTTTTACAAAACTGGTTACTGATGATGTTTGTTTTCTTACATAGTAAAAAATAGCTACCGACGGGTACAGCCAGGCACTGTCCGTCATTAGCCAGGCGATTGTTGGACCCTGCTACAAAGATCTCTGCCTCTCCCAAAAAGTAATCTGTGTATGACAAAACTTTGGATAATTTGTCCAGACTCTCCGTCAATGTCCCTGATAAACACACGCCTAACAACAGCCGGACCCAGATGCACTTTGACCCACGTTGTGCAGTCCCTCCTCCCGTTAGTGATTTTTTTGTAGCTCTAAAATGGAGTTAATGATTAACGGTAATTGCTGATATTCACTGTAATTACGGCGATTTCCTTCATGAATTGGCCGCCCAAGAGCTTCGGAGTTTGGAACTTGGGGGCATGGGATGTTTATACCGTGCAAGACTAGGGTCTTTGCCGGGCAGTTGCCATCGCGCATGTTACACGATTGGAGTTGTTCGTACTCCTGTGAATTCAATCAATTCCAGTCTCTTCCTGTGATGTAACAAAGAGCTGTAAGAATGAGGAGCACTGTCGCCCTTGTGCTTGGTCTCCTAATAGGTGAGAAATAACGCCCTGGACTGGAGTGCTGTCTACTACAACTCATTATTTTCAGTGGCAGTTTTGACCCTCGTTGACAAGCAGCAATCAAGTCCACAAGAAGTCAAATTACCAGTAGAACGGGGTTGATTTGTGCTCACAGCGCAGTGATCCTCCTTTTGACTTCAGAAAACAGAATGCAAGTTTATGGAGTTGCTGTGGTGCATAACTTGCATCCATTCAGTCTGATCAGAGTTAAATCACATGGTACTGGCCGGATCCAGTAGTATTGCAACATTGCTTGCGTTCCAGTAGCTTAGTCAGGCTCTTTTAAGAGGGAGAAAAGAGTTCCCAAAAGGATAGAGGTAGTTCCCTCCCCCCAGTCCCCCTCTCCCCACGTCAGCTAACCTCTTCTCGGGAAGGGGTATGGGACAAAAGTTGCTAAACGTGGGGATAGGCATTGCCTTTCTCCCCCGATGACGCCACTGCTTGGTGCGACTTTTATGTAGCCAATTATGATTGGGTCTTAACTGCCTCGTGTCTCGTCTTTCCCTTCAGCGGAGCTACATGCGGCATCTGCACAGACGGGCGGGTGTGAGCCCGGTTGGTCGAGGTCACCTGACAAGTGTCTCGGCTTGTTTGGCAACGACATCGATGGGGCAGAGCGCTCAACGTGGTCCCAAGCCGACGAAGCCTGCAAGTCCATGGGGGCGAATCTTGCTAAAATCCTAGAGCAAAAAACGCAACGTAAGTTCCAATTTATTTTTTGGCATGCATGATGATTGGTAATATACACAATATGTAACGACCAGGAAGTGTGAGAAAATAGAGCCGCCATTAACCTCACAGGACTCAGACAACTTGAAGATGATTTAAACTATTTGAAAAAAAATACAAGCACAAAAGGCACACACAACTTAAAAGGAAATCGCGTCGAGTAACTTCAGGAGCCTGTTGGACAAACTATGTAATTAAGAATCCACACACCCCAATGTCAAGACTAGGTTTTTAATATGTCGTTTCTTTGCCTTCTGTTTGATTTTGAATTGTGATGGAAAGTGAAAGGACCAAGAGCCTGTCTGGCAGTTCTGTCATAAGCATGAGCAGTTTTGTTTTTTTCAATAAAGTCAGTGTCACTCGAGAGCGAAGCACGCATGCCGGTACCGCGTGTGGCCGCCCTGAAAGGACAAGCTTTCGCGGCTATACGGGTGCGTGCTGGAGTCCTCGGCTACCGAATATTCCCCAAGGCATGTAATATATGGCAATTTTTTCCCCAAATGGGTTGTCCTGGGGGATTTCAACTGCAAGAACGCGACCAAATACCATCACAGACTGAGGCGCAAACAATCACGTGATGTGAGACAGGAAGAAGAGGGCCGGGTCACATCCTTTTTCTACCCTGCCCACAATGCTTTGTGTTTCAAGTGCGAAATAATTTGGAAGAAGTCGCCAGAAGCAATGTTACAAACCAAGTTCATCGAAAGCACCGGTAGCTTCACCAGCAGCGGTTAACTTCAGACATACCACGCCCCTAGCCTTTAGTTTAGAAGTTACGTTTGTCCGAAATTTGGAGCTTCCCCTAAATCCATGTCATGAATGTTCACCAACGCCACTTTGACCCACATATCAATAGGGTCACTACGGGAAGGGAATTTTTTATGTGGATCGTTATCTTTTCTGCAGAAATGACAACCGTCCTCAGTTTTCTAATTTTTTTCTCTTGCCTCGGTTTTGGATGAATTGTGTACTCACAACCTCGGATAGTGTCCTTCGCCCTCACACATATGAGAGGTTTTGCTGATGCGGTGTCTAGGATACCACATCGAAGTGATTTCTCTTGAAGTGGAATTATTTTTCGAACGTTGCGGGGTACCAATCACACCCATCCAGCCTCAACTACTAAACCAAAACACTCCAAATGACCAGTATTGGAACAAATGAAAATTAATGGGCAATATTTCACAATAGACCATTGGCGTCGCCAGGACATTTTTCGGGGGAACTCACTTTCCCGAGTCAGGAATTTCCAGTGAACAAGAAACAAAGCACTCTTCAGACAGCTGGAGCGAATTGGTGATTTCTTATCCCATTGAATCTTTATTTTTTTCCACTTGGTTTACCTTTTTCCGTCATTTTTTTCTTGTCATATTTTTTCAGTTTCTTTTTCCGGGGGGCCTTGACGCTCACTGATTGTGCCACATTTTCAGGTGGCCGGTGGCTGTACAGATGTGTTCCCACAACGTGTACATTTACACATGTGTTTAGTCCCGAAACAACGGAAGAAGTGTTCAAGGTTTCAGACGTGACAAGTTCTCACCGACGGTATTTTAAAACCTACATAGGCCTATCTGCAGAGCGGTGTATTCAGCTTTTGATGTCGGGGGGTGATCAAAGCGAATTCTGCTTCGGGCTCATTCAACATGCTGTTTGGGGAGGCAAAAACATCAAAAGCCTTACTCAAAGTCTCGACATTCTTGCTTTCATTTGATGGTGTTGTTTTCTTAGCGTTTTGGTTCTTATTTAATACCGATTACTTTCTCACCTATGAAGTGTTCTTCGTAAAGAAAAAAATTCGTCGGGGGGCAAGTCATCCCCCCCAGCTGGATATGCCACTGAATCTGCACTGTACCCTTTCACATCAGTTGCCTGATGAAGGCTGGCAGCACTAGCAGCCGAAACGTCGCTACCAGCAACACGACACCGCGAGTCATCGATTATCTTTTTACTGTATTAATCTGCACTGTTTTTACTACAGTATTTAGGGCCTCTAAATATGTTTCAAAACCTTAAATATACCCTTTCACAGTTCCGAGTCGATGTGTTCAACTACGTCCTGACAAACTCAAACATATTAGAGCAGTTTCATTCCCTTCGTCCGCTTCCTCTTTTAATTTTAGTTGTTTTTTTTTTACTTTTTGTTAAATTTGTGATGTAGTTTGGCTTTTAATTATTTACACCAAATTTTGAACTATAAAATAGTGCAAGTTTCAAACCAGTTCACAAATAGAAAGTTTGAAAAAAAAATAATTTTGGTCTTTCCCAGTAGGAGGGTGAAGGCATCTAGAAAATCAAAAACCATGAGTACTCAAACAGATGCTACAAGAAAAACGCAGTAACACGAAGTATTTAAATATTTAAGGCATAGACGTCTCATAATTTTCCTACTTCCTGCCCCAGTTGTTTAATTTTCTTCAAAATGAAAGAAATATGCCCTGGTCGTATTCGGGTTTCAACTCTATTTTCTATGACCCTGCCAACCCACACACACCTTTTGTGTAGATGTTGGATGTACCATACACCGTGCAACCACTAAGCCGGACAGTAACAGCAATGGGCGTAAATCCAGGGGGAGGGGTTTGAATTTCTCCGCCTTTTACTAGCGAGGATGGGCTATTGAATCACCCCGCAAGCTTTTTTTTTTGGGTGAGAAAAAAATCAAAGCAGATTCATGTAGCAAAGAATTTTTCTGACTACCAATTAAACTAAAATGTATTCCGTATCACTCACGAAGGGAGAACTATAAAAAACATATATATGCCATTCTCGTGCAAGATTCTGCATGATTGAAACACATATTACAGATCATCTGTACCATGAGTATCACCCCCTAAATAGTGTCAAATGGTGTCATCCCCTCCCCGCTTTTCAAATTTCCTTGTCCGCCAAGTCATCCCCTAAGCCACCATTCCCCATCTCCCCCCCCCCCATTTCTGGAACAAATTTACGCCATTGATAATTCTTTTCTTCTATTCCCATAGCAATCCTATCTGCCATGTTAGTACAAGCTCCAGCCTCCAACGTCTGGATCGGTTTGAATGACCGAACTGTAGAAGGGGTCTACCGATGGGCTGATGGTACCCCTCTGACCGGATTCGCAAACTGGGGTCCAAATCAACCCGATAACGGAAATAATGCCTTCCAGGAGGTACAGGGAGACTATTTTTACAAGTTATAATTACAAGTTATATTAAGCAGCAAGGTACTTTAATCTTTACTATCGTATCAAATTAATTCCTTTGTAACCGCTAGCCATGCTTTGGCGTGTGGCCTGACTACTGTGAGTACCCTTTGCTCAACTAGATTACAACCTCACCTGAAGAGTTTAAAGTTCAGGTTCAAGTGATGCAGTGTGGTAGGGTTGTACAAAACGCAGTTTTGAAATTGGATAGAACTTAACTCCGTCACAAGACTCTTAATAGCTCACACTGGGCATTCATGCATTTTTAGACTTGAGCCACGTAGGCTAGCCCTCAAACTGAGACGAATTCTAGGAGAACTTTACACAGGGTAAGTAAAACTCTAGGGTGCCACAGGGTCGAAAATTACAAAATCAAAATATTTCACAGGGTAACCAAGTTTAACCTGGTTGAAATGCATTCTTTAGAAAAGAGATTGCCAGTCTCAGTAGCAGGATATTTGCTATACACCGTAACAAGTTGTTAAGGCCCGTTCTCATAATCCAGGACTGCACGTATCTACGAGCAAACGAAGATTTCCCAGGTGAATGGTACGATGGATATTGTGACTATCCTCGGGCGTACATCTGTGAGAAGCCTCAAGGTAAACTTCTGATTAAAGCAAGATCTGATAGACTCGGCCCAGCATTTACATATTCATAGCATCAAAAACATACCATTAGGCCTATCACGCTGTACGAATATAATCCTCTGTTGTTGCTATCGATTAGGGCACATTCAAATCAGATATATCGAGCGCAAATGACTTAGACGAAAACGTAAGTGACGAATTACTGCCATTAAATCCTGTGTAGGGCTGCGCAGGTGAGAGAAATATACTGAAACACCATGTCCTTGTCTCCGAGTTAGAAACGCAAGTGTTTCGCTAGTCACTATGTAAAGAAAGCTAAAGTGATCGAGGGTCACTCGCATGGCACTCTCCTTGGCGTTCTGATTAGATGCACTTTGCTTTAAGCTGTTTGTATCCTCGCTTTCAACTCAAAACTACAAAGTCCAAAATGTCAGAACCAGCAGCTTTGAGGTCATAAAGTGAAGAACGGTGGACCGGAATTTTTGCACGAAGTTTGTTTTCGCTGACCGGGCATGGCGTGTATGTGTACTGTATTGTATGCATAACTCATACTTAAGCCTAGCTCTACTGAGTGGAGCGTCAGTGCTCCCCTTTTTAAAAACTTTGTACTGGATTAGTTGTACCAGTTAGTATAACCAATCCAGTACAGAATTCGAAAAAGAAGAGTACTAACGTTCCACTCAGTAGAGCTGACATAGGCCTATACTTTAGCGTGAATTAACTCTACAATGACAACCGTTCCTTGGGTTCTTTGACATTGCTCCGTTTTTGTATAGCCCGTTGAGCCCACATTTTCCTAACCCATTGTAAAAAGCCAATAACTTGTTATTAAGTAATTCTTTTTTTCATTTCCCCCGACCACAGATCCTTCGATTCCCGTCGACCCACCGAGCTTCCCATGCTATGTGGAACTGGATCCCACCTATATCATATACGTGAGAGCGTGCTATAAACTGGAGAGTTCGACCACAAGATCCTACCAAGACGCAGTCTCTTTCTGTGAAAACGACCACGAGGGCGTCAGAATCACCTGGATAGAGGACGCTTTCCAAGAGGCCTTTCTTCAAGCCATGCTGTTCAATGCTGGGATTAATTCTGCATGGATTGGCCTTGAAACACTACGAGTATAGCTGTTTATAATATTTTCATTCTACTGAAAGTTAAACTCGTACTTTTCCTTTTTTTCAATTTGAATAACAGTTCCATGAAATGAATTTTAACACCATATGATAAAAACCATCCTAACAGAAAACATGATTGCTTCATTTTATGCGCTCAATGTCATTTCGCGCTCATGAAGTCATTTCATACACGTTTATTTTACGTCGTGCACTCGAAATGAAAATTTGTAGACTTGAAATCATTTGGAGCACTCAAAATCACTTCGCACACCCGAAGTCGTTTCGAGTGCTAGGAACAACTTAATTCGCCTGCTCCAAATCATATCGTGCACCCCAAATGACTCATTTTGTCAGATTGGTTCTGGTTCGACATTACTAAGTCTGTACACAAAACACATTTACCGATTGTCTTCAACTCCTACGATGGGGAGGGGGCTGTCGATCATTCCTGGCTCCGAAAGAGATCGTGTTGTAATTTTCCTTTTTAAAAATTTTTTTGATAGGGTATCAATAACTTGAAGTGGCAGGGCAGGGAACCTTTGACCTACACCAACTGGGCCAAGAACCAACCACAGGACACTACACGATGTGGCATTCTGACCACTGAAGGATGGAAAGATGAAGATTGTAATGCAAAGCATCCAGTACTCTGCAGACAGAATTTAGGTAAATGGAGACAGTGGTACTAATGCAATTAAGTACTAATAATCGCTACTTGTAAATGCTCGTTATAGACAGACCTAAGTCATGTATTTGGATAATCGCAAAGCGATGGACAAAATTGGTGCAGGTGGCTAATTTCAAAGAGGTACCATGAGCTTTTTACATAATGTACATTTATACTCAATCCTTGATGCATTTCAAACTGAAGAGAATAAACAGTAACAGTCTCCTGCTGCAGAAAATTATACACGGAATGATCTCACTCTGAACTAATAAAGGATATTGTATGGATTTCAAATTAACTCAAGACTTCTATTCTGACCTGGACAGCATAGGCAGGCGGGGATGCTTTCCCGTTGACCTAATGAAAACAACAATTCCAGAGGGAAAATAAGGAATAGAAAGGGAATAAAGGAGAACAGGGGATAGAAGTGTGCGTTTCCATTCCTCTCATTGAAAGAGCTTTGCACCTTTTGGTCGGCTGTTGCTGCTCAGTGTAGCATGTGAGGTAATCTTGCTCAGGTGTTAACAAAACTCTACGTTATGGGCAGATATTGTGAAAATCAAGATGCTTCAGCCAAATCGTATTTAACTTAGAATATTATCAAAAAAGTTCTTCATGCCAGTGGGGACAAGAATTGGAAAATGGAACTTTTGTTTATCCAGTTTTATTGCAACATTGGGTTTATGCTAAAAGTTATTAAGGTAATTGAATTGAAGATAGTGGTATGCGTAATACATATTTGTTCATCATCTGATAATTTTTACCTTTTTTTCACAAGCAATATCTAGACATCCCTTAAATTCTGCTCCCAGGTTGAACCTGCCACTCTACACCTCCACGACAACGCCCTGCTCTTGTCGATGAAACCGTCACTTGTTTAATGTAAAGTTTTCCTCGCAGATCCCACTCGCAAAGTAAGTGAAATAAGGCAAGAAATCAAATTTGAGATCAACTGTGACAGTCCCTTTGATATCGTGACCCCACAGGGAGACGCCCATCTGTACCACCTACTTTCCCTGGGTCGGTGTGTCCAGCTGGAATGGTAGAAATCGACGACCAGGACTGCGCAGTAGGCATCAATTCAACCTTTGCAACATCGTGGGAAGAGGCACAGGAGATATGTAAAGCTTACGACAGTTCAAGCTCACTGCCAAGTGTACATACTCTGAATGAGGACAACAATTTGGCCGGACTTTTCTACACTGACCCTGACCTGGAGGTGTGGATTGGACTCAGCCCTAGTGACCGTAAGTTTTTGGTCATCAAATATGACAGTTAAAGGAGAATTTAATGAAGGATTATTCCAAAGAGTCCTCACTTCTCC